TTCAAGTGACAACTAGCTTATTCGCAAGTCATACTTCAATTCCATCTGTTATCGAAAACGGCAGACGGGATAGTTTTTTCTGACGAACAGAACTACTCCTCCCTTGTACTTCTGGATCCTATTAGTTCTTACTAATGTGGAACTTCCGAAAACAAGTTCCCCACTATGTATAGACAGAATCAACAGAGTCTCTGTAAAAGCAATTAAATTCAAGCTTCAATTCTTAACTACTGATTGAAGGACTGTCTTTCCTTTAGCAACATTGAGTCGTTTCTTATATCTGATTTGTACTCAGTTATTAGCTTTCATTGGAGTAGCAATCAAAGTCAAGTTACACACAGTGTGGGATCCTGGATGACTACCGATAGATTGTGCAGCTAGGTTATTGTTCCTGTTAGAAACGGACCTAACAATACATTGAGGTTTTCTAGGCGTTTCCTGCTCGTTGAAATTCGGAGAGCGGTGGATAAAAGAACATTCAATACTACGACTTTTATTTTCAACAAATCTCTTTATAAGTCTCCCTTAATCTTTTGGTCCATGTACTTCAATTGACTCATAACTTATTCAGTGTAACTTCACATGAATTTGCGTATCGGCCGAACGAGTACTGTTTGATGCGCCTCGAATACGCTTGGTAATATTCCTTTAAGCAGCATCACCCCATTTTAGTGGCTTCGCGTTCGAACAGCGTTTGTAACACAACCACAAGCAACTATTTTAACAAGCCGTTTGAAAGCTACAGGGGTCTTGTTCGTAGAAATTTTATGGTACCATAATTTGCACTCATTGCACTGTATGCCACATTCCACAGTGCATCAACAGCATGAGCATTGACTATTGCTTTTTTAGGCCAATTAGTCAACAGTCAGATGTTTTTAAAAAGAAACTAGGCGCAAAAAATACTCACAGAGAAAATGGTCAGAAAAAGTGAAAAACTAAATTTTTAGAACCAAAAGTGCAAATAAATACAAAAAGAACTAATGTACTCAAAAGTTGCTGACGATAAAATACTTCCAATAAAACGATATTCTTGACGAATACTGACGGAAATAAATTCAGTTAAAGCAAACAGAATAGTTATGATACATAACAAACGATCAAAGCAAAAAAAATTAGCTCAACGAGGAAAATTACGACTGTTCTCCTTAAAGGGCGCGGCTAAGCGTTTTTATATCCCATTTACGTAAGGCTGAACCTAGACTACTGTGTTCAAGCATCCATTCCACGTCTTATTCGATTGAGTCAATATCCTTCATGAGTTCAGCGTGTATGAGCACAATTAGTGAAGGATCTTTCCAAACTTCCATAAGCCGAGCGCTTAAATCTCTAGAAATTTTCCCCTTGATCATATCGGAGAACGCGCGGTGGCCTTATATTGTCACCTCATTTCTTTAATAACGATGTTATCCTTAATATATCTCATCGTTTTGCTCCCTCTAGAAATAATCACTTCTGAGTCCATTCTGAGAAGCTTCAATTACCGCGATCTCATAAATTTAGAATGAGTTTTCGTTTTTCTCATCGAGTAGTCAGTATCTAGAACACTTTGTTGAACGTGATATCAACGCCATCAGGAAGCATTTTTAAGGAGAAGACGAACCTTCACTGAAAAACAAGCTTCAAACATTAACACAGGTCCATAGATATATTATCCTTCTTATTGAATAATTACTTCCTTAAAAAAGCTTTCAGAATACCTTTTATAAATATTTCGAAAAAAACTACGTCAAAATATGTTCAGCACCCACTCAGGATAAATGGAAAACATTGGCCTTTGTTGATAACATAAGCTATCTTGACATGACTTCAAGGTCAGGTTGATTCTCAGATTTTGTTTTGTTTCACGTAAGTGTTGTAAATCTGGGCGGTTTAGTGTGGAATATCACCTTGTTCAATTAAGTCGTCTTATTAATTTTAAGCACTACCAGTCAATGTTATATGTGTCGATTTCTGGTCGGTCGATTAGATCGATAAGTGCTATTGCACGCAGGTCACATTCAGCACTTTGGCAAGGAACTTCCCAACACGTCATATAATTCTTACCACAAACATACGAGATAACTCGTCAAGACTTGCATGAGAACGTGCTTGGATTCAACATTGAGTTCCAACGAGAACACAATAAGACGTTGCGATATTTCCTTTTGTCACCGTGGGTTTGAAATGTCTCTGGATGTACGACTAATTGTCTACTTATCGCCTAAGTACACACCGACTTGTTTACTTTATGCACGATTATTTGTTAGCCCAAATACCTATGTTCTTTACTTTCATCACAAAAAGCATTTAGACACAGTATACTGGATTTAAAAAATTATACTGTTTTAAAGGAATATTTACGAGAAGTGGGTTCACGGTTTACGAGATCAATAGCTGGGAGGTGTTCGTTACACATCTATTTTGTTAGTGCAAAGTTTTGCTTTCATTGACAACTTTAAGGTGAGAAGTGACGGCTTTCTGTGTTTAAAATGAGATCATAAGTTAATGTGAAAAGTTAGCATTATGAATCACGGTTAGAAATTAGAATTAGGTCTTCACGAATTGATAACAGCCATTGTGCTAGAACACTGTTAATCCATATAGACGAGTAAATTTCACGCCGAAGTTCAAGTGGTTATATGTGGAACTTGGTTGATTCTTTTATTAATTGTAGTTCCTGTGAGACGAGCAAAAATAGGAGACCTCCGTGTTGGTTCGTACAATCAGATATAAATAGATATAAGCCCTCTCAATATCTTAGCTTTTTCTGCATAAGTTTTAAAATGTTTCTTAAATCCAGTCATACTCCGATGTGTGGTACTGACGTCGATATATATGTGGTGTTACTAATCAGAAGTAGAATACGTGGCGGCAAAAGGCTGAGAAGATCGAAAAGGGGAGAACGAGAACAGAGTGATTACTATGAAAACCGGAACAAAAAGTCCGAGACAATTGATGAGTATTTTGCAAATGAACTACCTACTGTATGGTTGTTAGTTTTGTTCTGTTCCTTTTTTTTACAGATAAAGGTACTAAAAAAATATTCCACTCTTAGTTTTTGCTATCACACCTTCAATGTTCTTTATTTTTAGGTAATACATCAGGTACGTTTCTTGGGATACATTGGAAATGGATTCACTTTTGGCAAATATAAAATACTCAAGGGACGCAGTTATTCCCTTAATGAGTTTTGCGAAGAAATGGTAAGCACAATATTGATCAAGTACTTACATTACCAGGCGCCGACCAGCTACAGCTTGGACCATTACCGCTGGTATGCTGTTCGTTTATATTACCGATTGGAAAACGATATGCACTCGGATTCCATTTTATAATCGTAAATTCTTGGATTCAGATGAATAAAACATTGTTTAATTTCAAAGCGACCCGAAGACTTAAAAATAAGGAAGCACGCAGTTCCTCAGAAATTCTTCCAGTCAACTAGTTGATACTATAACACAGTGGTCTAAACATTTAGCATATTCCAGAATACATATTTATTAGAATTAAAACTTTAAAAAAAAAGGATAAATTGTTTCATTTTGGTTCTTTAATTATAGTTTCCCTTAAAAATATCAGCGAAAGTGTTAAGTCTATGTGTTCTCAGGACACTTCCAAATACTTTGTTAATTTTAGGGAACGCGGCTATATTTAAACAATTAGTGCAACTATAAAATAACAGTGGAAAATTGTGTACTAAAATGAAAATGCTTTGGGATAAACAAGTTTGCCACCTTCAAGTAGTTAGATGAATTACTTAGTAAATCACAAGAGACAATAATCTTATTTTATTTGAACACATAAATATTGTTAAGAAGGAGCATCGAATACATATGCGCCACACAAGTCGCTTGATTTGTGTGTAGGCTGTGTGGAATAAAACAAATGAGTCCTTATTTGTTGAAATAAATAAATTTACGTTATTGAGATTAGTTTCGAGCTGCGTCCTCATAAAACCCACCCGTCTCAAACAGTTGTCGACAATCATTGTTGTGCTAATCATCCTTAAACTTATCATCTAATTGTGGAATAGACTATAATCTAACATGGTATTTAGCTAGCCACTTCAGTCGTTTTCGCTGTTTTGTTCGTTCTATTTAATTTGTCCTACGTGAGGTAAGCTTATTTTGTAATGATCCCGCACAGATCCTGTATCTTACCAGAAAAATCTGATTCATACGTATTTTAGATCCAATCTTATCATAAAATCTCTGTATAATTTTGTGGGCCATAATAAGATATTTTAGGTTAGTTTCCGTGTTATGATTGGTCATAACAGAGACAGGAGCTGAGGAGAGAAACAATTTTAATAATTTCCTACAGTTGTTGGCAGTCACTGTGCTACTGGTCATGGTGGACGTTATTGGTCTGATTAACACAATGAGAACTACCTGCTAGCGGGCCGAAAAACGAATTAATCTTCTTTAGTGAGATCACGAACCAATCCAGGTTAGACTGGCATTGAAAATCTAGGACTTTCCGTCCTAGTGTGAGGCACGTCAGCAGTGTATTGACAACTGGAACGGTTCTCGCACGCGAATGCCTTACCTCTAGACAATTGGTCTGGAACCCAATGATGTTTGGTCGCACAATATTGTGGATTTATTGAAGTTAGACTTGAACACCATTTGATCACGACTTTGTGGTCTAGAGGTAAACATCCGCGCACGAGGGTCCCGGACTTGATTCCCGTTGTGAAGTTATGGACACGCAAGGCTGAGAAGCCCCATCCTAGGAAAAAACAGTCGTTCAGTGCTCCTAGCCTTTTAATAGTTGTGAGACGTTGGTCGGTTTGTGATTTCAATAAAATTCAGCAACCTCTACAATTCTATACCGACGATATATGTAATGTTGGATTCACAATGAGACCATATTTTTACGTACAGTTTTTCCCACTTCAACGTCAGTAATTTATCTTGTTAATTTAATTCCATCCTGGTATGATGTAGTAACTGGGATCGATTCATATTATTTGCGTGAGGTTTCAGGTTATTAAGTGACTACTGAAAAGCAACAAGTTTGAACTATTTCATTTTGACCAAACAGAAGTTGAAGATTGAATATTTTATAAACTGAATATTCATTTAGTACTTTTTTGTAAATAAAAAACAAAAAGCGCATCAAAAATACTCTTTCTGAATTTCCGGAAGTAAGACTTCAGAGAAAACAGAGTAATGATGACAATGAGATATGGTAATTAAAAAGAAGAATATATTTGTAAAATCTCAGCGAATGAATTTTAAGTAAATCCAACGTTTCGCCTGGCAATCTGGTCCAAGCTTTTTCAAGGAAAATATAATCAAACAACAAAATTATCCAAGGATAATTTTGTTGTTTGATTATATTTTCCTTGAAAAAGCTTGGACCAGATTGCCAGGCGAAACGTTGGATTTACTTAAAATTCATTCGCTGAGATTTTACAAATATATTCTTTTTAATGTCTCAAATTAACTCGGCGCCCAAATATTGTGAAACTATTCGTTCAAATTTAGACGAAAGTTCTTATTTGAGATATGGTAATGTTCTTCATTATCTTCATCATATAGGGGTTATTGTAAAATTACTTATAGATTTAATCGAGAGAATAAATGGTCCTTCTTGGCCAGGTCGATAAGTGGAAACAATTACATTGTATACACCGCCAGAGAGACCAGCTTGTTCTAGAACAACATATCCTCTTCTGTAAATAAATAAGAGAATTTAAAGTCATGGACTATTGAAAATGGGGTAATAAGAAAATTATTGGCAGAATGTGTAACAAAAAAATTAAATATATATCACAAATGTTACTCGTTTTCATTATAATGAATATTGCAAAATCAACCAATTTGACAGAATTACCGAAGTATTTTAACTTTTCACATGATCGACCCCAAGTGGATGATAGATTATAGGAATTCAAAGATAGTATTAGTTTACAAAATATTTAGCGAAAGCATAAGTCTATGAGTTAACTGTTAGTTAACAAATGAATAAACAATTCTGAAAACGGAAGGTCACATAGTAATCAATAAACTTTCGCTACCGCTCGACGTAACTGAGAAGTCTTATATTCCTTTTTTTAAACAATAAGCAAAATATATACGGAATCGAATGTAAAACACAGATATTTAACAATAATAATGTGGAATTAAATGTCCAGTATATTGTATAAATTTCTAATACTGGTTAATAAAACAAACTAGTGAATCTGATGATAAGATTGTTAATCTTTACCGACTGAGGTGGTTGGGAATTAAGTTGCTTATGCCCAACAACCGCTTACCGCAACAGATAATTCTAGTTGTAGATTCAATTTCAAAGGAAGCTAGAGGGTGGCCAAATAAAAATGCGATATTACTTTATAATTTCATAGACTGTTGGTCTTACTCGTGTTGGGATCCTATCAGTTACCATAACTAATGGTTTCCGATGCCTCAGGATTTGTTCCAATACAACAGATGCACTCACTCTTTATCGTGTGTCATATCTTCAGTTTTAAAATTGTCTACCACTTATTCCGCGAATTGATTTCATATTGTCTATGCCTAGTGTTTTCTACTACCAATGGTACCCTTACTAATTCTACTACTCTAGCGTTTGTTTAATAATTTTGTCTCACTGTGGCGATATGATGTGACAATTTGAGCCAATACACACATACTTATCAAGTTCTACGGTGCTTGTGAGTGACTGAAAATTATCACTGAAATTCCAGTATACGATACGAATGGCATAAGCCAATCTGGCTTTCGCTGTACGTGCATTGATCTCATCACTCACGTCACCACCAGCACTTATGCAGCTACCCAGATACAGGAACTTCTCGACTACTTCTATCTGCTCACCATCCAGGGTGAGTACAGGATTAGAATCCTGCCAGTCTTGTAGAATTACTTTGCACTTCGAAGGTGCAAAGCACATACCGTACCTACGGACATTGATTGCCAACTGATTAAGTGCGGATTGCATGATTTGGGCATTATCGCACAGTAAGACAATATCATCCGCATACTCAAGGCCGAGAAGTCTTTCTCCAGGCAACAGGTCCGCACCACCATTACTTAAGTCCATCAGAGCTGTTTCCAGAATGTCATCGATCGCAAAGTTGAAGAGGAATGGTGAGATTGGGCAACCCTGTCTAACCCCACTGCTCGAATGGAACAATGAAGAAAGGTGGTTGTATGCCATCATTCTGCTTGAGGTGTTTGTATATAGGGCTTTTAGGATGTTAATAAACTTCTCAGGCACACCCTTCTTCAATAGACAATCCCGTTCAATGAATCAAAGGCAGCACTGATGTCAAGAAACACTATGATTGTTGGCCTTTGATAAGTATGGCGGTGTTCTAACATTTGGCGGAGGGTGAAGATATGGTCAATACATCCTCTACCAGAAGGAGACCCAGCCTGCTCCTCGCGAGTCAATCTTTCTCTGGTTTTGAACAACCTACGAAGTATGACGGAAGCCAATAGCTTGGACGCAATCGGAAGTAAACTTATCCCCCGATAGTTGTTACAGAAACGACGTGAACCCTTTTTAGAGATAGAGACAACTATCGACTCATTCCATGACGTTGGTACACTCTCTAGCTCCCAGACCTTTGTAAACAACATCGTCAGTTCCCTAGTCAGAAAGTCACCACCATCTTTAAAAGGAGCTGGAGGTAAGTCATCTGGGCCCGGTGATTTGTAGCGCTTCAAGAGTTGGGGTTTCTTGCGGGCTTCCGCCTCATTTGGTGGATCAGTCGTTACCGGCCATGGAGGGGAGGACAGTCTGATTGATGTTGCCGGAGCAGCAGGCCAGCCGAACTGCCCTTCGAAAAATTCTGCCCATCCTCCAAGACGTCGATGGATGTTAGTGACTGGCGTTCCGTCATCCTCGCAGATTGTTTTGCTCACACAAGATTCCTTGCTGCCGGTGGCTTGGATGAGTTGAAAGAGCTTCTGGGAGTTACCAGATGCAGCTGCTGTTTCCAACTCATTAGCACGCTTCGACCACCAGGCTTCTCGGTCCTTACGCAAGCTTTGCCCAATTTCCTTACGTAACGTCCTTCGTTTGTGGTCAAACTCACGGTCACATGGAGTAGACCGACGGGCTCGACGAATTGTAAGGAGCCTAAAGAAATCCAGTGCTTATGAGCGGGACGTTTAGTGAAGCCGCAAGCGACTTTACTCACCACTTTTATGGCGTCATGCAATTGCAACTAATGATCATCTATACTTTTCGGTGGGATGGTAGCTAGCCTAGAACCTAGCTCGGTTTGGTACTTAGTTGCAACAGAAGCTGCAATCAGTTTACTGACATCAATCAATTTAGCACGATGAATTCGTTGGCCACTGAAAAGTAAAGTAATATTGGCGCAAAGAAGGGCATGATCGGAGTTCAGATGGGCACTCCAAAAGGAGTGGCAGTCTTGTACACAACCACGTCAGCGGTAGCTGATCGCGATGTGATTAATCTGAGTCCAGGCTTGAGACACAGAGGGAGGGCGCCAGGTAGCACATCGGCGATGACTGTGCCGGAAGTTAGTGCTAGCCAGAAACAGGTTGTGGTCTGTGCACAGTTGTAGTAGACGGTCTCTGTTATCTGTCCTACGACCAACAAGTCCCCATCGACCACCTAAGCGCTAGTACTACAATATCTGTCAGATGCACTTTCTGAAGAAGAACAGATAACTGTTGGTAAAATTAATCCTTGATTGCATCCGGGCTGCAATCTGTCGGATCACAGGCGATGACGAAAAGACACCGTTTCTCACACCGATTTCTTCTCACTTTGATGGAACTTTCCAATCTAACAGCACATAACCGACTGTTAATGGGGATCCAATCGATTAGTGCTGCCTCAGCTCTAGCGCTTAGTGCAACACCAACGCCAGCAAAACCGGACGAATACGCAACAGGGTCCCTGGATAAACGCACGTAAAACAAGCTTTTTGAAGCGACAGATGGAGAGCAAATTTGTAGTACTTCACTAGAGTCTTGAATACGGGTCTCGGATAGACAGCAAAAAGTCGATATTAAGATTTTTCAAAGACAGCCAGCCCTATCTGTTGTCCGGCCTGCTTAAGTGTGCGAACGTTGGAGAAAGCCAGTCTGAATGGTGCACGTGGTTTCAGAAAGACTTTCAGTGTTCGTATTCAGTGGAAGCATTCAACATTCGACCAGGCAGTGACTCGAGATAGTTTAGATAGAATAGAGTTTCCACTATAGGCGAGCTGCTGTATAAGTTGAAAAATGGGGATATATGAAGTGGGAATAAAAAATGATAAGTGATGTAGTATATAAAGAAAAATAGTAATAATAATAAAGATGAGTGTTATCAAGAGAAAGTGAAATGTCTTAGTTCTGATCGGAGCGAGCATAGTATTTTGTTAAATATTTGTCATCTTATCAAATATGTGTGAGGGCTGTGATACTGCCCGGGTGCCCAAATCGAAGCAGGTGGTTTTCTTAGCGCGCCACACCCGGAGCCTTCGACTTAAAGGTCTGATCCACAAGGCAGTAGAGCATCGTAGGGAGATGCAGTCCCATGGTAGCCGGTGACCAACAATTGGTCCATACACCATTTGTTCCCTCAGGATACTGGAGCCCATGTGCACCATTGGTTTGGAATCAGGGTTTCCCAACTCCCCTAGGTGGACTCTCCGTGTCCACCAACCCGGTCAAAGTGCCGGAGTTTTGTTACATACCAACTGGCGCTTGTTAACAAAACAACCTATAAGCTTGAACCTTTGCTTGATAATAGGTCACTTAATCTAGTGGCCACATTTCGAATTGATTGAGAGGATTTAATCAATAACTAGGAATTAGAAAAACATGATATTCGTTGCCACTGACCAGACACAATTAACATTATCGTTATTCACTGTACGTTAAAAGTTTTAAATCGTTTAAAGTTTGGGAGATTTCTGCCCAAATGGTTAATTGAATCGTTATCCATAAGAGCTTTGTCTTTGGTTTAAATTATTATATACAAGAATGGGAACATTACAGATAGACTGATAACCAATTGATCACTGAGTAGCTATCAGTGTTGCGTTTGTTTTAGGTACTGATAGAATTCCATCGAATGAGTTGCGATGAGGCCACCAGCCTACGTGACTCCACATTTCATGCACTGTGTTAAGATGTCAAGTATTTGGGATTAGTCTACAGCAAATCAAGTTATGGCCCAAAGCCGCCAATCAGAAGCAGCGAATTATCGATCGGACCAAGGACACGTAAAACACGTACGAGCAGCCTAGAGTCCTGATTGGTCCTGTTTCCGCCTAGCCCAGCCAGTTAAGTTCAGAACACCAGTCTCAGTCTCTGCAATATGAATCCTTATATTTCAAACATACTGAGTTTATATACCAATCAAATAGACCACAACGTAGCATAAAATAGAAAATAACATTTGTACAAAATTTGGCCAAATGTGGTTGTGAATGTGGGAGGCAGTGACTAATAGACAGGGCATAATTCAAGAATGGTAAAACGTATAATAATGGATCATAGGTCAAAATAAAGTTTATAATAAGAGGAATATGAATAGTTTAGTTACTTGACAGTTATACGATAAAAATATACGTTTGGTATTGGTCCACAAAAGGATCCCAAAGTTACCATTCACTATGTTTATCGGGACCTAACACTCTATTTGAACTAAGTTTCGTGTTAGTAAACACTCGTCTACAAGAGATGCCTTTAATCTTGATGAAACCGATGATTTCTAGTAGATCCAAGCACACGTCGGTATCTTATAGATATGTATAGCTGACGAGTCCCAGCTGGCACGAAACATGAATCTAGAGATTCCTACCGGCTACCTCCAACTACTTAGCAAAGGCTTATGATTTATACTGTTCAGTCAGCAGAAATATTGTAATCCTCCACATGAGGTCAGTCACAGCCCCAGTATTAACATATTTCTAACTGGCTCACTAGGCGATGTGTGAATTATCAGTCCTCTTAAGATTGGGGACATGAACTTGCCAATCAGAGCAATAAAGTTCGAACAGAATCCTTCCTGATAGCTTTCAGAAACCGCCTAAAAGCACTTATCCCTCTATTAAGTCGGTTGAATAAGGACTAATTTAAATAAAAAATCTAGTTAAACTACTTAGTGTGAAGTCGGAAGTGTTTGACATCCACTACAAACTACATACTAAGAACTGAAACTGTAAAATAAGCTAAATGAATACGGCTAATGTAACTGAATAACGGAGTACACATGTTCAAATACATAAACTAGGTCACAAGCTTATTACGTAGACTACTGACTTTAATCGAATGTTCGGATATTTTTTTACCAGAATAAATTACCTGTAATCTCCAGTAGTTGATCGATTTTGCTGATTGGGTGCTTGATCATTTGTAGCAGATATACGAATTAATTCTAAGCCCAGTGCATAATCTCTGTAAAAATAGGTGATAAAATAATCAAAATACTGTCAAGTAAATTTTAATGCGAGGAGTAGTTACCGCGCGTATATGTTGTGTTGACAGACTCCAAATGACCACATAACCACAGGTTTGTGTATTCTATTTATGGTGTACCGTGCCATTAATCACTTTATTATGAACATTATGTATCGGGTGTCATATGAAGTTTGCTTTATATATATATATATATATATATATATATATATATATATAGAGAGAGAGAGAGAGAGAGAGAGAGAGAGAGAGCGTCATTGTATTCTTCTAACTTCTTCTGGTTAGCGTAGAGTGGGTCAGAGGCCATCAAACCAAGATGTGAGATCAGTAGCTAAAGTCATTGACTGATACTTTGAAGCACATTAGTAGGTGCTAACTATCCGTTTACGAGACCTTGAGTGAACTATTTTGAAATCGTTCTCAAAGGGCCAGATGCATTTATTCTGTCTTTACCTAGATTATGCGTTTTAATACCACCTGAAACTTCCACTTAGCTAATTCATTCCTTTCTTTCCAAACCATATTTTGTGTACTTAATCTCTGTTTAACTATCATTTGAACTTGTATTATTTGGACTGTTTATCTAATCATCTCATTGTGTTGATATACTTCGACATCTAGAACGGTAGAACACATTAACACGAGGTTTTACGTTGATTATATAACTTAGTGACTTAATTTTTTTTTGATGAAAACAATTACCTTATTTGTCGAATAAACATTTCAAGTGAAAAGTCCTGTTGGCGTTTTACTTTTCCTCAAAAACGTAGTTATATATATATCGAGAGAGAAAGAATGGTAGGCAAATATAGGTATATAAACGACTACCTTGGTCCACGCAATTCAATCAAAAGCTGATTATCACAATTATTATTTGGTACATTAATTTCAAATCGTGGATTAGTTCTATAACTTTCTTTGTCATTTATGCAGCCACCAGCATTTGATCCTTTCCACTCACCAGTAATCTACAATACAATTTTAAAAAAAGAAGCAAAAATATATGCAACAATCGGAAATCCAGAGAAATATTTATTCATTGTATTATTATTATTATTATTAATATGGAATTATGTTAGTAAGTGTATGATACAGACTACTGCATATCCTTTCAAAGGTTAACTCATGAACTGATCTTAGTAAGACAATAATTATCATTACTGTTGCGAATGGCTTTATTCAATATCATATGTTAAGGACAATATGGAATTATCAGCACACAATGTTTTGACAACCTTATTTTACGAAACAAGAAAAAAAATGTGATTAACTGCACACATTTATACATGAAATAAGTAAATGAAACAATCTGGAATTCAATGAATCTTTTTTAAAGCAAAATAGGTCAGCCCTTACAACTTGTCCGTCACGTAGTACATTTGCGAGATAAGTGTTGTAGAATTTTTATATCTTTGCTTGCGTGCACGGATTTGAATGAAATAGCGTCTCGTTCTACAAGAAGACATACGAGGAGGCAGATGTAAATGAAATGGATGGTTAGTATCTGGCAAGATTTTAAATGTCTATCCGCAACCATATACATAATAAGCCCAAAAGTTCATCACAAATCCTGGTAAATGCCTTCAGCACTCTCCGCAATACGGCAAAATCTTTTCTCGAAAGCCCAGGAAAGAATAATGGGGAATAGTAAAGAACAACACAATATAATAATTAAACCGTAAAAGTAAATACGGAGCAATGCCAAAAACATGTGGTCTGTTTGTATAGTAATTCAAAAAAAAGATTTTCCTCAAATTCAATAAAGCATGAATAGATTAAGAGATCAAAAGAAAAACTTACACCAAAATAAATGACATTTGATACCGTTTTTGTCAAAGAATATTACTACAAGCTTTTTGAGATGTTTGAGCGTTATTCATGTTTCAAACTAAAATTAACATTCTAACATGTAGAAGGATTAAGTGTGAGACCATTGTTCAATGAGAGACAAGAACTCATCCATTGTAAGGGGATGTGAAGACGTAGAAATCGATGTGCATATATTGAGACCATCTGTATACCTAACAAAAGTGTTTTCTGTAGATGTCACATTATGCAGAGAAATTGAGAAAAGAATAGCTTATTTTGGCACACCTTAAGTTCATGAGAACGTAAAACAATTTCCTCCAAGCACAGTATACTGTTCGATTTCAGAGAGGTAAGAACACACCCAGTTGGTTATCCTGCTGTCGGTGTTAACGCTGGAAAATGTGTTTAGTAGTAGTAGTTTTAGAGTAGAGTCAAAGACACAAGTATAGTCTGGAAATGAAAACCAAGAAGTTGTAGAAAGCTACTTGGTTCTAGTATGGGGACTGTTTAGCAGCGGGCATCTACAACACTATCGATAGGAATCGAATTCAAGACCTTCGACCCTACACACGAACGTTTTACGTCTGTACCAGTGATTTGGCATCAAATGGTGTTAATGTCTATGTTCTGACCAGGTTCCAGATTATATATACTGATTGTTAAATTTCCAACCAATTATTGCTGGTGAACGAATCGAGAAGACACTAGATTTTTATATAAACTCTTTTTTTACTATTGTATCTTTACTGGAATTTTCGGAGTACGTATTTTGTTTCCTATCAATTGCTGTTTTAATTAGGGAAGAGTTGGTTGAAATATCGTGGTCATGGAATACTAAACAGTGGAATAGCATTACAAACAAATAGTCCGTGTATTTCACGTTAAACGATATATGTATATAGTAACATTTTTATTACCGTAAAAGTAGGAAAAAAATCGAATAAATTACAAACTTGATATGTAATATTCGATTAGCATTAAGGAAATGTGTGTTTTTATCAGAAGAACAAGAGACTGTTCATTCACAAATCTCCTCCATTTCGTCTAAAGCTTTTATTAATTCGCTTACATGAATGTTTTCAGCGGAGTTAAAAATAGACCGGACCAACAAAAACAATTATATACATCTAAATAACATATATTCTGTAAATGTTTGCATAAACGCCCAATATTATTTTAACAGTATAGAAATCAAATGATTTCATTTATCCAACTCACAATACAACTCCAGAATGACATCTCACTTTTTGGCTTCTAACTCATTTTATACACAACAGTTTATAGCTTCTCATAGAAATTCATATAGCGTTATGATTAAACATATTCAAAAGGAAAATTTTTTTAAAATCACTAATTATTTGGGTTTTTCTGACCACTCCTTACAAGTTTTATGATTTCACTTAAACATTATTATTATATGATCGATAAGAATGTACCACAAGATAGCAAGTGGTTAAAAAACATGTATATATCATTACCAAGCTAAAATAATGATAGCTAATATGAAATTCGGCGTTAACATTGGATCAATCAATCTTAAATAATGTAGAAACCAGTACATATGTTCATCAGTTTAAGTTCCCATATCACATAAACACAGCCGAATGAAATTAACAAGACAAATCTTGGAGCTACTAAAGAGATAAAATATTAGTGGTAGTATAAAATACTAGGTATAGAGAATATCTATCGACTGAAATCTTCCCATTAAGCATTTCTCTCACTGAAAGATAATGGTTGCTAACTTTCATATCCACTTACCCGGTCAAAGCGCCAGACATTTTGTCTATAAGTAAAACAGCTTTGATTCCCTAATACATTTTACCATCAAGCCATACGTTCATTAATTTGAAATCTATTCATCGATTGAACTCAAGGGATCATTTCTATGGGTAAATAATACTTAGCTAAGTCACTTTAATCGATTTGGTATTTCATACTAAGCTCACTGATAAATATCATTTGGACGCTTTTAAACAATGAGTGCAACAAACTGGAAAGTCAAATCGGTAAACTTAGTTATTACGTCAGAATTAAAAATAAAAACAATACAAGGTTGGTACGCCTGTTACCTGGTCAATATTCATTGCACAAAAATGATTGCAATGAAATGGAGAAATTTCATAAAAAATTCCCAAAATCACTCTGCGCAGTTATTAACTGTCGAAATGAAACTTGTTGATAGATCTAAACAGAATAGTCGAGGTTCTCATGTTTATTTTAATTAAAAATTGAAGATGTTCAGTAATATTGTTCAGAATCAATAGCCTATGTTTCCTTTTAGACCATCAGTTTTAAAAATGTTTACTACTTCGAGTGCTTTTATTACTTTTGAAGTGTATATAGATAATTTCACCTCTCTATCCCGATACAATATGGTCATTTGAGCTGATGTACAATAAATGCCAGGTTCTGCAATGGATTATGGATGAGTTTCACTTAAAAAAACACAACAAAGGTTATGATTTTTATAACTTACTTGTTTTGATATAGTATAGGGATCTTTGATTTTTGACAAGGTAAATGGTGCTGTTGAATATACACGTAATGTATAATAAATTGTTATTGATTTCTCATATTGTGAAATCAAAAGAATGTAATTACATGTCCCAGGATCTTGAAGCATTTTAACTAAACAATGTGGACTATTAATACGTACAGAATCACAAAATGGTGCAGGATCATAAGGATAATAGACTTTACGAGATTTGACATCTTTATAAACAACCACTGCAATGAATTCTTTGTTTTCGGCAAAATCTGCCTTAAATATTTAGATATGAAGAACAATAAAAAAAATAAACGAGATTATACGAAGGGATCGAATGGTAAGTATCTTGATTCTTCAGTATTAGTTTAAATATTCCCTCATAGAATATTCACAAGCAAAGAATATCTGAGGGAGCAATTGTTTTCAATGACTTCATCATTAGGCTCTAAAGTTATAAGTCTATAATTATTGTAATATCTTACTAAGGCCAAAATAAGGCATGCATTAATTACATTGACAATGTTAAAAAATTAGTGAACTTTTCCATCTGTTACGGGATAAATACAACAAGATAGTATTATTTATAAATTAGAGAGATTATTTGATAAAGGTTGGAATGATTCGTATTAAAGTGTCAGTTTATAATCAATATAATAGTGAGATAATAAATCGTGTGAATAATGTGCGTAGTAGAAGAATTCTGTCTTGTTAATCGTGATAATAATAACAATAATAATGATAATAAAGTTGTGTAAATGTCATATGTAACAAGAGAGGTATTGTCAAAGTAATTACGATTCAGAAAAGTCATGTGAATGGGGAAAGTTGAATGTATAAGTTAAGAAAGATAAACACAAAAGGAATTGGGAAAGGGGATATATCATTGCGAACTATAATATATTAGACAGGTGTTTTATTCAAGTGCGCAGTGCGAACCCATGACCATATCAGGGTTTAGGAACCAATAACCCTAAGGTCTCACGGAAAACGCTTAACCGAAACAGCCAAATAAGATTGATTTGTAACGAATGCTAACTACAAAATGAGCAGAAGCATTTCAGTGTTGTCAAATAACAATAGAATGTGAAAAAAAGAGAAATGTTGTTTTTGAAGTCAAGAGAATCGAAAACGAAATGTAACTCATTTATTAATTACAAAGTCAGGTGTACACGGATTTTTGAACAATGATATATGCCTGAGAGAAAATTATAGTACTCGGCTTCTTAATTTCAAGTAAGTGAAGAGGGACTCGAACTTGTGACCTACCACTCGTTGTATGCTTTGCATACTAAACTGGTGCTCATGTGAAAATGCAAACTCAACAAAAATTATACAGTTGTAATTATGGCATGATAATTTAACAACTGTAAGCAAAATGGGGATAATGATGTAAACGACAGGTTTTCACAATATTTTACTATTCATTTAGAAGTACTGTCAGTGGTTACATTAAAAACAGCTGTAATTATTACTTATATTATTGGTAATCTGGACTACAGTTGCTACCTTAAAACATGATGAGTGAGGACGTTAGGGGTAATAACCCAAAATAATGTTAAAATTGATTGTTATACTTGTTTTCAGAAGTTTTACCACCACTACAGCTATGTATTGCTATGATGAAACGCAGTGACTATATTTTAGGAAATTTAATCCGGATAATCGCGCCATACTGCGGGTAGATGAACTGAAATAGTATCCTTACATCCAGCAAGCAAAACCTCCCAACTTTTAGCCAGTAATTTTCCAGGATATGAAAGGATGCTTTGTTCTGGAGAACTATTTATTCATCACTTCATAACTGCTTAAACTCACGCTGATAATAACTTTCCCTGGTTATGCAACTGATTTTCTAGCAATAAGTTAAGAACTACATATTTGGAGTTTGAAAAATTCCATTCTTTTTAATCTCGAGCAATAAGAGTTTTTAATCTATGGTCTCGCATTGCAGTTACTATTGTGTTACTTTGCAAGGGAACATTCAAATAGGTTATGGGCATGGATGTCGAATAGAATTCATCTGACAGATTTACTTACATTTCAAAATGTGTGGAGATTCCAAAACAGTCAGTTTCAGATTGTTGGCACATTTTTGTAGGAGGAGGGTATCTGAAAGCAAGGTGGACGCGACACTGGATACGGAATAATATAAGTAGTTTCAAAGAGGTGAGGTTAGAAATGTAAACCACTGAGTGTCATCACAATGATTTTAAAGTAACTCGTGAAGGCCCTAGGCTCAATTTTTGACGTCATCATAAGTGAGTACAGTTGAGGGATGAGCTCCAAATTAAAACAGAATATCCATTGAATATCCCATGACTTCCTATGTTTCGTTAACTGAAGTTTATCTGTAACGTAAAATATCGTACTATTCTAATAAATATCCGAATTTCTCACTTAATCGTCGATTACAATGCTTAATAACTTATCATTATTGAGTGATCATTGAATTTTTAATTCATTATATTGAACTTACTTTATCTACAATATGTCTTGTTAAAAGCACCCATATAGGTGATTCAGTTTGGGCAGTAACTTCCAAATTATACTGTGGATTTTCAGCACTAGCGTAAGAATCTTTCTTTGGTCCAGATCCAGCAAGCCAACAACTTCATTTATTATAAAATAGATTAAAGATCAATAGGTTGAACACATTAGTCAAGTTAAGTAATTGATATTGACCACTAATTAATTATTAAACGTTTGACCAAAGTTATAGAAGCTTAGGGATAATGATTCGAAGTACTTGGAATGTACATAAATATGGACGAAAAAATTAATATGAATTGGTCAGCTTTAATTTACTACTGTTCATTAACAATCGTCAGCTAACAATAAGGGGACCGAAATTTCTATTAACCGTATAAAAAGAAGGATAATAAGTTTTGTATTATATAAAAAAAGAATGCTATAGTGTGCTTAATGTCATTCAGACTGATACACTTATTTACACTGATTGGTCATTGAGTGAATGATTAGATTCATATTTGTCTATTGACGAAAATTTCAATCTGACGAGAAGGCAGTTTCTCAAAGACTGAAGAACTGTCTTGTTAATGAGTGCTAACTAGCAAAAAATCCAAACTTAAAATTGTTGGGATATTCAGAAAAATATACCAGTAATTATCCTGTTAAGTCTAGTGGTGTCCTTGGACTTTAAATGGACATTTCCTATTGGTCAATGTTTATTTCACTTGTCAAATATTGTACAAATGTTGTTTCTATTTTATGGTACGATGTGGTCTGCTTGATTGGTATATAAATAGAGTATGCTTGGAATATAACGATTCATATCTCAGAGGCTGAGACTTGCGTTCTGGACTCAACTGGCTGGCCTAGAAAGGGAAGCGGGCCAATCAGAACTCGAGGTCGTTCTTACGTGTTTACGCGTCTTTGAGTCGATCGATAATTCGCTAACCTACAATCAGCAGCATTTTCACGTTACAACAACAACTCCTATCTTATTGCCTCTAACCATACAACATTATTTACGAGTAAGAGTAACAATTTCCCTTTGACTAATACATTTGAAAAACTTGATAATTGGATGATATCTATAATAAATAACGTTGTTCAGATGTTAAAATAAATAGCCACCTTCCTTGGAAGCAATGTTTGAATGAATATTTAAAAATAAATTACTGACCGCTGTAGAAATTAGGGGGATGTGATAAGTTTCCATGAATTTGTAGCAAATTTGTTTATCGATGTTAAATATGTGTGAGGTAATATTTTTTCAAAGCAGTTTTTCGTTCGTTTAGTGGTGCAAATATGAGCATAATTTTCACAAGAGATTTTATTTCAAAAACTAACTTCCACATTATTTGCTTTTCATATGGCAAATTGGTATGGGTCACAGCGGTTTGTTTATAGGACACATATTTAGATAGCTTTAGATAATTGAGATGAAATGTCTAGTGAAAATCATGCTCATATATGCTCCGCTAAATGAACAGAAGAATGTTCAAAGATGATGAGAGGACGATTCAACTAATTGGATTACAGCGCACTGCTGAGGAGTCTCATACTAGGACGAAACGGCCGTCCAGTGCTTCCAGGTTTTCCATGGTGGTCTATCTTCAATTGACTCATGATTTCAACCAGTGAAATAAATAATTATTTGTGTGAAAAAAACTACCGAATATTTCCTCAATATTTATGGTCATACTCTCAAAATTTATAAATTAAGGTACAGGGAAAAAAACACAATCAGTTTAATGGCAAACCACTCTTCTTATTTCTTAAGTCATTTCAAACAAAACTCCGTTAATTACAGTGTGTAGACCTTCTTATAATAGTGTTGCTGATATAAATTTAGGCTGTTTGCAGCTAATGAAAAGCCTTGAAGTAAAATGAATTCAGATTATTTTGTAAATCCTATTTATCTCGCCTTATTGAAGCCATATTATTATTCAGTTATCATTAGTGTGAGAGGATTGTGGAGATTATTGTGTTTTATCATTCACGTCATGGAATAATCTTAGTTGGACAACCTTTGAAAACTGGGAAGCACTAAACGGCTGTGTCGTCTCCCTACAGGACTCATCAGTGGTGTACATCAACGATGCCACTGTGGATCAGCCTCAAGAGCGGAAAGTTTCGTGGCAAGGGCCTAACCTTTAAAGTAATAAGTCGGTATCTGATGATTCATATCATTAGCTTTAATCAATTTGAAAATTAGTTTGGTTCTTCATCTCAATAAAACAGTGGCAACTGAATTTTTAATTACAATTATACATTGCTTAGACCTGTAAATAATACATGACAATATAGTTGAATAGAAAATTTATTAAAATAAAGCCTCCATTTTATGTGAATTCTGCAGAATTACATTCACTATACATTAACACTATATATACAGGTATTTAGTGTTATATTTGTACGTGTTAAAAGTATCCTACCTTTATGTACCATACACGGATAGGCACAAATCCAAATAAATAAGAATTAACTAACCACTTCAAAAATATCTATTGTGACATCCAATATTTTTGTTTTAATTGCGCTTGTTAGCCATATATAGTATAACTTAAATAAACAGATTGTAAGTATTAAAATTACTATGCATGATGTTATTATTGTGAATCTGCTCTTTTTTATACCAGGGAGACAAGGGGTAAATGTGCTGGAAGAATACGAACAAGCCTTGTGTAAACTGAATTTGTAGAACTAGGTATACAATTATTTTGTAAAACAAAGCCTTCCTTTTTGTTTGATGACCGCGTAATTTAATTTTTGAAAATATAGGTCGTATTGGTACACCGTGTTCTCTTTTCTCGAATACTCAATGACTCAGATTTGTGTGATGCTTTTTTCATGTACTTCAATTAACGTTTATTACACACATTATAAGCCATGAGTATCCATGATCATATAATACCTAATGTACACATCTAAGTGAACGGATTGACCACTCTTGTGTAACTAGAAAAAAAACTTACGTTATCGGATTCACACACAAATTATTTTTCAAACACACATAGGCAGCTTATTGGTTAGATCAGTTGAGTTTTAACCATTAGATCGCAGGTTCAAACGATGGCCTTTATCTATTTCGGTTTAAGCTGCCAAATAGTATTAATATGCCCCATATTAAAATTGTAACTGGAAGTCGGGTATGTAAACTTGTACTAGGTAAACAATTCGTACCTAAACACAAGTAATTTTCCAACTTAGGGATGAGAATATAACAGCACAGACTTTATAGGTATCAATGCCAAGGTAGGATCTGATAGTTTCAAATATATTGAGAATTGGATAGAAAATTATTAATAAATATACTTTTAGTCATATTCCAATAGTAGAAAAATTGTATTTCTGATTTTTCGTGACTTAATGTAGGTCACTTCTTCAGAGTAAATAAATGACCGAAATAAATTAACAAAATTCTAAATAGCACAAAGGAGACAATGTAGAATATTCTTAGTACAATCAAGACCATAATAGGTCTGAATATGCCAATGATCTGTCACTATTCATTTGTGCCTCGCAATGTGGGTATGAAAAATGTTTGCGTTTGTAATATGAAATAGTAGGGTTGAAATTAGGCGTATGTGTGAGTAGATCGTATGGGAATAAACTATGTCAAATGTGGCTGTTCGGATAAACAATCCAGGCTGGATGAATATTCAGGCCTTCTTTCCTATTGAGGGCAGTGGGGTTTAGTGTTATGTGAAACGCTCCGGTTACTGGCCTCTCTCTTTATCCGAATAACCACATTTGAGTAAAAAAGTGTGGGGAACCTAATGAGTAACAAACGATTTCACAAAAGCAACTTACTCATTAACACATGTAGTATATTGAAATAGTCCTGGATCCCAATTAATATAAAATACATCAAAGAAATGACATAAAGAATCATAATCTATCCAAAATACACCATTATCAATTAACTGTGCAGATGATCTATCAAAATTCAGCTTAGCTTGCATACTGGGGGTCCAGTGTTTTGAATCACGCTCAGAGAAATTACCTTTCCAACGCATATGACTCCATGGATTTTTCAGTAAAAATAAACGATAACCCTTTTTTTTAAAGCGATTAGTGTTTTGTTTTTTAAACAAAATTTATGTTGTGGAAAGGGAAACAAAACATACATAAATAGAATTACAAACTTGGTGATACAGTTATCACATGGATTTCAATAAAATAATGATAATGATCACAATATTTAGATTCATATCAGTGAAAAAAACCGATCACATATCAAGCATCATTACAATTTGTAATATAATTACCCAGATGATTTGTATGACAGTAAGGTTTTATTCATTTCCTTCTTTTTAAAAATGTGGGAAAATAAAAGGATTCTACCTATTTAGTAAGAAAAACTACTGGAAATAATTGGACGAAAACTAATTCAACTATCAGGTAGGGATTCACTTACATGGCTTCGAGTCACAGTTTATTTGTCCCCACCAATAATGCTACTACGCATTTGGCTAAACGAAGTAGGTAAATTAAAGTTCGAACCTGGAACTAAGTAAATGTAGACTGAAAGGCCTCAGCAACTGCTTCACATTAGGCAGTCATACGTTAAAAGCGCTTGTTTTCGTTCGATCACCAACGTTCATTAACAAATAGGGCGCGATTAGTACTGTGAAGAAATTTTTTGCTAGTGGAACTAATTGACTTTTAATCATTGCATTGGTGACTTAAAAACCTCATTCGATTTAGATACACCAAGTAATACCACTAGGTATGATCATTGGGAGCGTCCTCTCACTCTTTCGAAAGCCTTTCATAAAGTCACGCATTTATGGCCTTTATCAAGGAAGACCTGCTCACTGCCTACACGCCGCGGTCTGTTTTCTACAAAGTGAGACAAATTGAAGAGAATGTCTTAACAACCATTTATACAAAATTACAAAAGTTTTGTTAGTATCGATCTTCCGTTTGACTAGTCAAAGATGAAGTTCCACAACTCCAAATAAGAGACCTCGTCTGGGGTTTATAAACAATGATTTTTCAATTAGAATATTAATTTACAATTCTTATTACTGCAGTTATGTCAGTAAGTCAGCTACAACGTAGGACCAGGCAAATATGTGCATCCATCCAAGTTGCCATATCTCATTAGCAGTTATATCATCTCATATATTTATTTTAAAAAGCAAAACTTAGAATCTTTCCACAAACATGTTTGGATTTGTTGGATTTTCATCAGACGAACAGTTTGTTAGTCAACTAACAGTTTTTTTGTGAGAATTATAAGTTAATTCATCATGAATGACATGACTCATAAATATAATGGCAGTGGAGTGAATGCAGTTACTTTTTATCGCACATTAGATGTTGATTTTCAAAATTACACAGTAAATTCATTGGTCAATTTCGGATTACATCCTCTATGTTTAGTCTTGTAATTATTGATCACATCTGTCGGTTGTTTAGTTAGTTTCAACTGGATATATTAATGTGGTGTGATGATTTGTGTTGATATATATTTGTATGAATTTTCTCATTGTTTATGATCGACTGGTTGATTGAGAATCGCTGAATTACAAGTCATTCATTATACAATTACTTCGGAATCACTCAAATTTGATATCGCACTGAGTCAGCCACATTTTGATATTATAAGTAGGAGAATAGAAAATTGCAACAATCAAAAAAATACTCCTAAAATATATCTGTCAGTTCGGGTCGAATAAATGAAAGGAATTCTTAGGACTATTTTATAGGTGACTATTAAGTAGATTTTTATTATTCTATTAAATGTCTGGATTGTAGTGTCTTTATACTACTTTTATAGTACGTTTCCACTTCATTTATAAACTGTTATTGGATGTTTCATCGTTCCTTAATTATCATTAATTAAAAATGAACCTACTGCTCAGTTTTGTAGTACATGTGAATTAGTTGTGTACAAAATATATAGTAACCCACGGGTTTTTCAGCCAGGATAGCAAAAAAGACAATATTAACATAAAAGGTAATTCTGCTTGCTGTTTTTAGCTTTTGATTATCCATTTCGACTAGTAGGGAGTTGTGGACCGATAGACATTTCGCAGACATTATGTTATTAGTTTAACAGAATGTCATTGATCAGGCAAGTAAACATAAGTGGATTTCTACTGTCAAATGAATTCGATAAAGTAGGCAATATACAGAGTTGTATTTATAACAATTTCAAATGATAAGCACATACCTCCACCTCACGTATATCTAACATAGCATAAGCATGAGTTGGAACTAAACCTGACCGTTCACTTTCATCATCGGATAACTGTCCAGTTGCAATTGTAACTAGACAGTGACCTTTATGAAATCGACTTAAAAGACGACGAAATTCTCTATCTTTATCAAAACTTGTAGAACTAGATCGAATGGAGATACGTTCAGGAATCCAACCAGTCAATGCATGCAGATCAATATTCTGTTGAATATCAAGAAAAAGAAAAACAATCCGTAAACAAATTTCGAGTGAAACTCACGATAAAACAAACGTATTTTCAAAGAAATGTGTATGAGCACATGTGAAATGTATGATTATTTGAAGACCAAGTGTACACATCGAACGAAATTTTGTTTTATTTGGAGAGTAAACATATTACACATGATTTTTATATTGTATAATGAAGTGATTTCAGTTAAAAACTATTGGATACCAGCAAGCATTGAATAGCTTTTCCATCCTAGTATGGAACACCTCGAAAGTGCCCGACGACGACTAAAAATCGGGTCAGATCAAAGACCTAAAGGTCTCTAAGGTAGCACTCAGGTAGGCCATTGAGCTAGCAACAAATAGTGGATATATCTAACTTTAACCCATTTGCGAAACTGTGTAACTATCTTCCAGTTCCATTGGTGGGGGATTGTCTAACATTCAATATGGTTAAACTCTACTGGTCACGTCTTGTCAGAACAGGAAGGATTTTATGAATAACGGAGTCAAACAAAAACGAGGAACAGACTTATGTAAGTAAATGGTTTTTGTTACGCGATGTCTGATCACTACAACCAACTGTAGGACACCGGATGACTCTCTCGTCAGATGTGAAGCTACTAATTATTAGCGTGCAACCCACGTTCGAACACAGAACTTGCATGTGTCGCGGTGCATGTTTAATATTTCAGACTATTGAGTTTGAAATTCGATGGTCTATACTTTCAACTTAAATCAATCATGGAAATTTATTTATGTAATCACATAAATCCTGGTACAATAGGAAATCAAGAAAAAGTGCCAAAGAAATGAAACGATAGTATGTATGAAAAAAGAAGAGACGGATAGTACAATCAAGAAAAAGATAAATTAACGATAATGAGCGACAGTCAGAGTCATTAATCAGTAATTAACTCACTCTAGACATGATCACATCAAGAATGTCACTAATTTTGTGCACTGTACGAATATAGAATACATACAAATATCATGTTTTAAAGGAACAATGATCAGACGGAGTTGATATGAGGAATATGATGTATTTGTGCCGCACATTTCGAACAGTCTGATCACACATACTTCTCAAGACATCTTACATGAAAACTAATGAATGTCAATTAAATTAAAGTTCAAACAAATATTAATTTTCACTGTGGGGTTTTGAAAACTGTTGTATTTTATAAAAATCATGAACTGATCTGAGTTTGACTAATACCTAAAACCTAGAAGATTTAAGCGGTCGTTTTGTTCTAATATGGGAATCCTCGAGAGTACGCACCCACGAACCTGCAACCGGGAATCAACCCCAAGAACTTCGACGCCACACGAGGATGCTTCCCGTTTTTGCGGTCTTGGGTGGGCACAGCCAAAGATTCCCATGCCGGGACGAAACGGTCATCCAGTACTTCTAGGTTTTTATCCATCGTCTTACTCAGATCGGTTCGTGATTTTAATAAACATAGGGTGATAATTGAAAATAAAGGAGGGAAAAAACTAATATCATATGAAAAGAATAGGAAATTGTCACATCACTCTAGCTTGTAAAATGACGTAAGGTTCACCAGAAAAGACAAATAGTTTTCGTACACATAAGGGATGTTTGGATTTGCTAACACCCAAGGCCTTTATAAACCCAGGAACTCGCCCTTGACAATTTCTGCCTAACTTTCTAAAAGCTGTATTGACATCAATTCTATACCTCGTTTCAATTATATGCTTTGCTATTGATGAACATGGTTTCCTACTTATTTTTATCGGAGTATTTGATACTAGTTTATCCTGAGGCCATTTAGACACATGTTGCATAACCCTTGATTGCATTGTTCGATGAATCCTCCCTAGGTATATGCGTCTGTACAAACATGCAGATTGATAAATGCAGTGGGATGTGACGTAACCACCTGTGCAACATCTCGGTTAGTATAGAATCATGAGCTTAGTCAAAACCAATTTAGCAGTACAATATAATTTCTCAATGGTTGCATTTAGTTTGTTATGAAATTATACTGTTCGACTTTTCTCGACATGACAAAGAGATAAAAAACCTTTTCTCTGTAAAAGAATTAAAAAAGCATTTTGGTATTAACCGACTTTTACACCAATTTTTAAACTTCGTTTAACCATTTAGTATTAACGTTTCGGCTAGGAGTTTTGTATCTTTTTCAAAAGCATCTACAGTGCATATTCACTGGGTTTTGTCAGAGGCACTTTGTCACGCCTCACTTGTGGTGCAGAAAACACAAAGTGTGAGAATTCAGATATTGCCAAGTCTACGTTGGCTTCTTATAAACTGAACGTTTTATAGTTACATCCTCTCCGGATGAAAAGTATGTCTAAATTAGAGAGTAACTTATTATTTTTTCGTCATAAGTACGATATCATTCTGCACGCTATCGAGTCTGTCCAATAAAATTGGCCACACAAAGTGAACGCCTTATAAGTGCTTCACACTACCCAACGTTGCATCTAAAAGGAGAATGGTAAACAACTGGTAGCTTAACGCAAGAGCATCCCATCGACTCTGGACACGTTGCTCGACCGAATTTCATCTTTAAATATAGTATACACGGCCAAACGAGTGAAATCAAACAGAAGTAAAATTAGAAAGTTGTGAACCGTTCAAGTGTTGGTAATTTACCAATTTGATCCTGAAATCTGTATGCGAAAGCAACATATACAAACAAATATTATATAGAATGAATTAGTAATTGAACATTACCGAATTTGATCCTGGGAAATCATATCCGCCCATCACTTTCATATAAGCTTTTTCTAATAAAGATACCCATAATTCATTTTGATTATTTGAATAACAACATAGCAGCTTTCCATCCTTTCCCATTGGCAAAAAGTCATCTATAATTACCTAGATCAGTTAGGCACATATATATTGCAAAATTGACTAAGATAGATTATTCATGTAAACAAGGGTTCTATTTAAAAAAAACGATTAGGTTGAAAAATTATTTGTCGTTTATCAACCAATTACAGGTTTACGTACTTGGCTTTGAATCATACTGTTTACACAAGGGGAAGTGAAACTACTTATTACCTAGTTGCTAAAACAGAAGTGAGGTGTATTGTTCAAACTTGGAATATACTAGTTTAAATTCAAACGATTCAGTCCGATAACAAAACACATCAAGCAGTAGCATTTATGTAAATCAACTCATAGGATACTGTCGCACATCAACATAAGAAGTTATGATCTAGACGAAACTACGCCGAAAGTGGAAAAGAACAGAGGATAAAGGTGAATGAACAATTGGTCATAAAAAAGTAATCGTAAGATGTATGGCAGTAGTTCGTGAGTCCACTGGAAATTTACAATAAGGAGAATATAGAAATACAATAATACAGTAATTTGATAATTAGACAATAAAAATACTAGTAATCCGTAAAACAGTTCCAAAAGTCCTGATGTCCTCAACATATGTCAAGTCATAACAGATCGGTTACATCGTCAAGTCGTATAGTGTTTATCAGGACAGTAAATCATAAAAATCACCAAGTTGACAAATACATTAAAATATTTGGACAATTATGAACTTTTAACTTAATTGTATACTACAAGAATATCTGTACGTCATCTAAGCGGGAAGTTTCACAAACTAATGTAAATATTGGGATAGCACAAGCCAATAGTACTGAGAGTTTAGTGCATCCAAATTAATTTTCAACATTTACACTTAAGTATGTATTCACAAAGTAAGTGTTACGATTGGAAAACTGGTAACAACAAATTAAGGAGTTTTTTATCCTTTGAAACACAAATTAACATAGGAATTTTTTTTTAATTACTGCATTTTTGTACAGAATTTGAGCCAACGTTGAAAATAACAATATGGTCGATATGTAAAAAGTGTCTGGATTCCTATTGACGGAGTAATTACAACCATCAATAAATTTTCACTTCCTCATGTATTGTACTGTTGATAGAAAGGATATTGATGTGTAAATATGCTCGTGATATAGAATTACATTATAACAGAAAAATAGACGATGGTTTGTTATTCAGATGATTGTAGACATGGGTAACATGGCCCAAAGTCGATCAATGTTGCTGTTGAATAGGATGGACGTGACGGGTATTCATCTCAATAAGTTCATTTCGTTGTGTTGTGAAAGCCTAGATAGACAAACGTTTATGTGCCACTCTTTACGTTGAATATGACTGAGTCCCAAAGTAGTACCCATCGGTGATTTCACGTGGGATCCATGCTACCATCTACAATTTCTCTATTTTTTAATTGTATAATCTCTTTCAGTTTGACGATTTTAGTTATGGGAACTTGAATGGACAAACATTTTTCCTAGATTCTACGTTGCTAATGGTTGGCTCATGTAATCAGTGAGATCGTATATTTTGAGATATCTGATAGTATAAATACTTGGGACAAGATTTAAACATTCCAAACTCATAAACACATAAACTGGAGGCTTCAAAAAGATTTTTTTTAAAACAGAGTAAGGTACAACAACCGAAGAATGAACAAATTGTTTACTTCAGTTTTCTACATTTCAATTGTATAAAAGCTAGAAGACTAATATCGTTGATCGATAATTGAAAAAAAAAACGTTAGACACGTTAAGAAGATATAAAACTTTGTAAACAACCCACTAAGATAAATCATTTTGCATTGTTAATAATTTAAACCTCGTATAGTTGCATGCAAGTATTATTTTACAGATTTGTTTGCTGTTGACCTGCCTCCAGTGACATAAAGGTAGAGAGGTCGATTAAAGTATTATTAAGTGATAGTTTATATTGCCGATAAATCTGGTGAGACTATAATTTATGGACGACCTTTGAGCTAAGTTAGACTGACCTTGAGAGTGTCCACCTAATATCTATGATCGAATGAAGGTTCTAAACCTGTGCAAGGAATTAGAATTATGTTTTACAGTTGATGATTAACGTTAGGAATTAGATTTAGGGTTTTCATCACGCACTGACATCAGCTATAATGCCAAAACTCTATTTAGCCAAATAGATGGGTGAATTTAGCGCCTAAATCCGAGACCTGTTATCTTATACCAGATTGGTTCGTCCATAAATCATAGTCTCGCCACAAATCTTAGTTAAACAACCATTGAGAACTAGGTAGCACTGAGAAGCTGTTTCATATTAGTACTGCACTAAACAGTAGTGTGCATCGACGACATTATTAAGGGTCGAACCTAGGGTCTTCAGGTTTCATGACGAGCGCCTAACCTTTAAACTATTGATTGGGTATCCAATGATTTTGTATTCCAATCACAGTTAATGATATTTTGTGATTACTATCCATCCCTGTTAGTGATATTTGTTTTACACCTAACATGATTTAACTAGGGGCAATTTGTGATGTAAAACTATGTGATCTATAGAACCTATTTAATTTCAAGTTATTTCTCATCACGGATTGAGATTAGTTGAACCAACTATTGGAAATCAAGGAACGTACTCCATTTCAAACTAATTAAAAACCAAACAATTCACTGTTAATTAATAACATACCTTTCGTGGAACTCCATTGAAATTTAAACGAACCATGTATTTTCCACATGGATTATAAATAGCTTCATTAGTTATGCCTTGAGGATATATAACACTGTAAAATAAGTCGTTTTATTTTTTATTTAAAAACAAAATTAATGGAAATAATCGTATCATGAATAAGTGAATTGATAACATTGTATTCTATAAGTTAGAGATAGTTGAAATTGCGATGTTTTTGTAGTCATTTTGAATAACATTACTAGGTGCTTAGTTTCCTATTAGAAGTTGGTCACAGAACAACAACAAAAACCCGTTACAGTTAAATTATCTAGTTCGAATGCTTTAACTATTGAGACACCACCTCATAATTTTGAGGTGATTTTTATAGTCATAATTTTGACCTTATTACTGGGTGTCACAAATATCTTAGTTGTGTGTAACTTACTGAAATTTATGCTTTAGTTCTGTACTTCTATCACGATTCACCGTGTCCAATTTATATACATACGCTTACTGAACTATCTACGAGATTGTTGGTGATAACTGGGATATAATATTGTTAACAACTACATGAATAGGTATACAAATCACTGGTAAATATATAATTTATAATGATAATTTATATAACATATAATTCCATTGACTCATGATCTCAACTATTGAAAATATATAATTGTCCGTCTGATATGTACAAGGGCATATAGGCTAGGACCTTAGCTGGGAGGATAATTCGTTGCCTCCAGTAGAGCTTACCATTTATGATTATTCATTCACTATTTAACCTTGAGATGGTATTAATGAAAATAATATATTTGTAATATACCACTGAGTAGGAAAATTACTTTTCTAATTTTTTTGACGTTTCGTCACTTAGCCCTTTCATCGAAGAATAAATAAAAAAGTCAAATTTTTAAGGTACATGTCCGGGCACAATAATTTGGAGAATACGATTATTCTTTCCTATGTATGTGTTGCCGCACATTTAAATTGATAAACACAGTTGGATGTGACGCAATCGTCTTCACATCTTTTAAGTTTTTAGTGAAGCATGGAGCATAAAAGGATGGAAGGGTCATGACCTATTATAGCAGTAAAGCCTGTCTACATTACTTAACGTTTAGAGGTGATTCAATTAATCTTTTATTGAAACAAAAGCTTGAATAGGTTATTAACAAGACATGTTACGCAGAAAAGGTAATTATCAACGGAAAATCAAGGTCCATGAATCCCCAAAAGCTTAAAAGATATGGAAAGGATTGCGTCACATCCAACTGTATTTATCAATTTAAATGTGTGGCCACATGTATTCAAAAATAGTTCACACCTTAAATTTATCTTGGTAATGCTATTCAGGTTTAAAATTGTTATTTATATTATTTTCTTTATTATCTTCGTCTCCTCTTGCCCTCCATTTCTAGTCGATTTGACCTTTTATGTTTATATATAAATGTTCTTAACAAATATATGTGTGATCAGATTGTTCGAAATGTATTGCGCTAACATACCACATAGCTCTCATAATCTTCGTCTTCTAATTACACTAACCAAATTAAATGTTACAAAGGAAGAATAAATGTGCGATCAAAACTCAGTAAATAGTTAAACTACACGACATAAACAAATCTAAACACAATTGTGAGTCCTTATTTAATTGTAATCAACTACAGACTTTGAGAATTACGTTTCACCTATATCTAAGAGCGTTAGTTGATATCTCAAAACAAGTGTCAATCTTTCAACTGAGATTTCAACCCAGTACACAAATGAAAAATATGAACAAGTTGGAAGAAGAAAAGTTAATTTCGAATATTTGATTGTGTTATAACGTTGAAGATGACTAAACCATATAAACTCAATCAATCAAAATCGAACCATCTAATCAATAATTAAGTCATAATAAAAACAATACAAAGTAGCAACAGATGAAGAAACAAACTGAAAACGTTGACAACACAAAACAGCTTATTATATATATGACGCATAAAAGTATGTCTGCCTGTCTATCTACATTCACTAGCCAGTCATGGCTTGCTTTCGTTGAACGCATCAGATGGTCTGTCATTCTAGTGATTTTTACACTGCAAAAAAAACAAGATACAATGGTAAAATACAAATAATTCAGAACAAGTAGCTTTTTTAGTGAATAGTCAAGTAATATCTTACTTTGTAATGAGCTTTTTTTTAAAACGTCGTTCATATTGAGCAGCAATCGCCATCGATGCAACAAATGAACAATCAGTAACTACAGTTTGGCATATAGAAAAGCATGATATTGCCAAAATCATTTTTGGTCCATTAATGTAATCAGAGGGACGTACCCAACGGCTAAGTAAAGATTTCTGTTTATTTGACAGTGCTAAAAGTCCATCTTTATCACTTTGAAAAGTAGCAATAGAAGTAGGAAATGAAGAAAACAAAACATTGTGAATGTTAAATAAAATCTTAAAAATGAAATGTGATGTTCTGTAACAAACAAAAACAACTAAGAACGATGAAAAGATAAACTGATTCTAGGAGTGAGGACATGAAAACTTGTTCTCAAATATCAAGAATGATACACGGGGAAAGAAAAAGTTAAAGTACATCTTGTGTTTAATAACAAATATACAAATTTTCAATAAATTTGTGTATTATGCTTTCAAAGATTGTGGCAGTTGAATATGTTATATGAATACCTAAACCATAGTGTGGTGGTTTGATGGTTAAGGGATTCGATTTTCAACCACTAGGTCGCTAGTTTGAACTATACTACACATAATTAGATTGAGTAGCCGGGTTGTATCGCTGTTTCTCATACACAATGAACAACTTAAAGTTGAGTACACAGTTTCACAATTTGTAAATAAGAAATAGAAGTGTGTTCCGGATCGAAACGCTGGTTGTTGAGGGATAAACGATAGGATAAATGAGTGACAGTAAAACTATTACACTGAATTAGTACATCTAGAAGATGTCGTGATGAAAAACTTGTTAAATAGATGTTACTAAATAGCTAAGTAATAAAGGTCGCTAGAGGTTAAAGACAGAATTTTCCGGCAAATAGTTGAAGTAATCTCCGAATTTCCCAAACTGATTAGTAGCCTTTATTATGATTGAATTAAATTCAGACATTCCAGAAAGAACACCACTTATACCAACAGCAATTCTCGTTTCAAATGTAATACATTATTTCTAGTTGGCCGTTTTTTAATATCGGGTGACTAAAGATAGCTAAGCTTTTATTATGAAAGAATGAGGAGCTGTAGCTCAGTTGTATGCTTCTGGTTGTATTGTGTTCTCTGGGTGAGCTAAGTGGTTTAATTGGGAATCCTTCATTGTCGTTATAGATAGGATCAGTCCTCAGTTCACGTACAAAAGGACTATTTGATAAATGCAGTTGGTATAAATATGGGTTTAATTACTAGCACAAACTGAAGTATAACACAAAACCGTTGAAATCCAACAACTACATAATAATTTAAATGATATGCATCTTCAACTACACCTATGATGAAGTTATTAAATGAGAAACCCAAAATGAGCACTTTGCCCCTGGGTCACCAGACTGTAATCGAAGTGTTAGTATTTACCGATTTCAGTCAACCAACAATATAACACGGCCATCATCTGACCCTATCGGCTAGCAACTGTTTTTGATTATACTGCCTGACCAAAAACAAAATTACAGATTACCAAAACATTAAAAACGCGTGTGTATAGTTGGAGGGACTCAAACTGAGATGAAAAAGCAGTGGGGTTTTTTTTAGCTAATGGTAATTTCAGACAGGAATTGTACTCAGACCAATCAGATTCTTTACAAACCGTATTGTTAACTCAATTATTTAATAGTGATAAGTGTAGAAATGAATGTACGGGAATTCTTTGAGTCGACGCTATTGTACCGTAAACCAAACTGCCAACTGTATGGATGCGGTTACTAATTATTTGAAATGAGAAGGGTATTACAGCCATTTACAAGAAATTGGCTTACAACCTAAATGTAAGTAATAAAGACTAAAATAAATTTGGACAAAAGATTTGTTAACTTTAATACTTGTTAGCTAAGCAACCAAATATTGTATCTATTTCACTTAGAAGTATGGATGAATATAAAGTAACCAAGGGAGAAATCAGTTAACTAATACTCTATTATTTTAGGTTTAACTGTTTCTAAGTGTACATTTTCCTTGGACCTGTGACAACTTGAGCTAACATGCTACTGTATAAGGCCCTGAAATTATTTAGTAATTACACAACATTCAAACAAGATCCATGCTAGATATCAGACTTAATATTTAAAGCTTAGTATAAAGTATGGTTAACTATAAACATATAGAGCATAAATCAAATGTAAATCAAGAAAACTCGTTTGTAGACATGGACCATGACTTACACAAAAGGATTAGCAAAGGAAAATCGTTCTTGTAGATCAAGGGCGTCAAGAAACGGTAAATACTCACGACCATTTATAACGGACGTGGACCTCAATACCTCCAGTTCTTCGACAGTAAAACCGCCAGGGTCTATTAAAGAAAACGAGAAATTGGTTGATATCAAGTCTGAATATGATCAAATTTATGGAATATGTAGTATAAAAATCTTAATTTGGTTGAGACAGAATTTTGACCGCTTTTTAAGCGGCAACTGATTGCACTGAAGGCCTAAGTAATGTACAGGCTCCTAGTAGAAATGAAGAATCAAGACTTAAGAAACAAGATGGGTGACTATATCAAAGATCAGCTATACCGTCATTATAAAGTGTGAAACCTTCTAAGTAAAAACAAAACGAAAATGAGATAACATAGTTTCATCGCTTAAACAACACGGTTCTTAATCGAAAGATACAAGAACTACTGTTAATTTTGTGTTCACATTTATTTATTTGTTTAAACACATAAACACTGGTACAAGGAGGCACCAAATAGATGTGCACCACATAAATCATTCGATTTATGTGAAGGTTGAGAAACTGCCTGGGTGCCCAAACCAAAGCAGGTGGTTTCTTTAGACGACCACACCCGGAGCCTTTGACCTAAAGGTTTAATCCACAAGGCAGTGAAGTGACGTTAGGAGATGCAGTCCCATGGTAGTCGGTGACCAATGACTGGTTCATACACCATTTGTTCCCTCAGGATTGTGGAGCCCACGTGCACCATTGGTTTGGAATCAGGGTTTTCCAACTCACCTAGGTGGATCCTCCATATCCACCAACCCGGTTAAAGCGCTGGATATTCGCTTTTCGTCTTCTCAATTTTGTAAAAAAAAACACCCGCACCGCAAGAAGGTAGTGAGTAGGACTTCCTTGGCAGTGGTTGTATGCACGTGGCCATTTGAGAGTATTTCAAGCATTCTGATGATATTTTTCAGTGTTATAATCGAAGAATGGGCTTAATATGAGATACTAAATCGATGAAAGTGACTTAGCTAAGAATTATTTACCCATAGAAATGATCCCTTGAGTTAAAACGATGAATAGATTTCAAATTAACGAACGTATGGCTTGATGGTAAAATGTATTAGGGAATCAAAGCTGTTATATTTATAGATAAAATGACCGGCACTTTAACCGGGTTGGTGGATCCACCCAGGTGAGTTGGAAGACCCTGATTCCAAACCAATGGTGCACGTGGGCTCCAGGATCCTGAGGGAACAAATGGCGTATGAACCAATCGCTGGTCCCCGGCTACCATGGGATTTATGTGGCGCATATCTATTTGATGTCTCCTTGTACCAATGTTCATGTGTTTAAATAAACAAGTAAATGTGATTACAAAATTAACTGTAGTTCTTCCATCTTTCAATCCACATGAAATTCCACAGAATAAATTACAAGAAAAAACGGTGAAAATGTGAAGATATATTTACATCGACGAGTCAGTAAGTGAAAAATATGAGCTATGTATTGTTTGGAAAGGTTTTCCATTGCGTTGAATTTACGTAAATGTCTTAAAAATCCTTGATGTCGTACGGTCTACATATCAACAGATTATTTTAAGTAATAACCAATAGTTACTTTATGGTTAGTTCAGTCACAAGTTATTTGATCACGAGAATCAATCGAGATTTTTCGTAAGTCACGCTATAGTTAATAATAAAGATAGCTAACTTGAAAATGTAAAGTTAATCATTATAATCGATGACAAAAAGGCAACTGCGCTACCATTGAATTAGATGGCGAGTTTCATATTTTTTCCATTTGGTTAGCTATAAGTGTTTCGTCAGGTGCTGATTCTAAATGTATTACTGAAAATAACGGCCAATTATGGGTAAGAATAGTAACAAGCTAAAAAAATTTAAAAAACCAACCTCCTTTCAAAGACGAAGACATATTGGGTTTATGAAAACCGTGGGATTTCTTAGATGTTCCTGACGTTAAAGTGCTACAAGAAGAACGGGAATCAGAACAAGGAGGCTGTGTTCTTTGAACATATGCCTTTAATTCTTCTGCCCTAGAAAGCTGGAATTAGTTAAATAATATTTTAATACCGATCTAAACCCCTTTTGGAAAATTTTTCAATGGATTTAAGTAAAGAGGGATCCTGGACATCATGTTTCTATGCACATTTAATTAACTAAATCCAGAGGATTTACTATGGATAACATTAACTCTACAGCCAATGTGTAGAGCTCAAAAGCCTTGTGGAAGTTTCCTTTTTCATCTTCCGTAGTACCGTCATCCAGTAAGAAAAGAGCCCTTGCAAAATCAGCCTGATGCATTAAATTAATCACAAATGTAACCAGACTTTGCTTTTAGAAACATGAGTGTTCGGTATGGAAGCATCTTCCACCACAGTTTTTGATTTGAGTTCTTTCACTTTGTTGTTGTAATTCTGAGCTAATTCTAATAAACCTTCAGTTTTTGAGCCTGCTTCCAAAGAATTCAAGAGTGCTTGAGCAGCTTCCTAAAAGTGTTAATGATTTAATCAGCCATCTACAGTGTAGTAAAATGCAGCAGATCTGTATTGTTTCCGAGACTCTTCCCACACTGCAAGTCTTTTGAACCAATCTGCATCTTTCTCCAACTCATGAGGATTAGCCATTGACTAATCCAATCACCCGATAGAATGCTTCTTTTAATCAAAACACGCAAGTGTTCACCACTAGATAAATTACCTAAAAGACAATTCGAAGAATAATGGGAAGTTTGAAGAATTATTGTGGATGCGAAATCGAGTACAACGTATAGGGAAGAAAAGTGATTTTGAAATTTATGTATTAATTTACTGAGGTTTTAGCTTAGTGAGTTCTGTTCAATGAATTTCAGTCGCATTAATTTACTCTGCATTCAGTTAGTTATTTGATTTTTGATGGACTGTTCTTGTAGTAATCTATTTACTGTAACTTTGTGTTCAGTGACAGTTGTTCAAATAATGGAATTCTGTAACTAACAAATATAGATTATCGGAAGGGGTTTTGTGGAGATTTTAGATATTTCACTGGTTGAAATCATGAGTCAATTGAAGCTAGACCACCATGGAAAACCATGAAGCACTGGAAGGCCGTTTAGTGACTGACTTCAAGAGATACTCCTGGAGTTCTTGTGAGAAGCCGTTACCAGTGGAGTTCAACCAGGTCGGTTGTGGGATATCAACTCACTGAAGACAATGGTGTACGGTGGAGCAACTTCGTGGATTGGTTGAAGTTAGACATTAACACCGTTGGATGCCGGCTCAGTGGTCTAGTTGGTTAAGCTCCTGGCGCGAGACTGATAGGTCCTGGGTTCGGATCTCGCGTGGGCAGGATCGTAGGTGCGCACTGCTGAGTCCCATACTAGGACGAAACGGCCGTCCAGTGCCTCTAGGTTTTTTATGGTAGTCTACCTTCAATTGACTCATGATTTCAACCAGTGAAATATAGATTAATAGATATACAAGCTAGCTGATTTAAGTGTAGTCCAATTTTCCGAGGTCTCCACGAAGAAAAGCTTGTATACAAACTCGGACTTCTAATTAAAGGCAGTGGACAGTTATGAAGTTAGATGTCTCGTTTATCGTACTGAAGTCAAAATTGTCAATAATCAGTTTAGTGAACAATCATATCAAAGATACCCAGCATTCCGAAAGAGCAATAAGACTAATTTCCCTAAATACATAGAACTATTAGGCGACATAATCACATGATACTGAGGATTAGTAGGATTCAAGGCATGTGTAACACTGACGACATCAAAGTATTAAGTTTAATATCGACAAATAAATTACATTTATGTCATAATAAATTTGAGAGCTAACGACCATAGCAGGAGAAATAGATTCATGATATCGGTATTAAGAATGACTGGTTACACCTAAGAGTAACTTTTAGAGGTCTTGCAGTAAAGTTATTTTGGGAGAGGAGTAATCAATGTTTTATGTATACTTGTATAATTTACAGAGCTATATCTGCTGTACCTGAGGGCAGGACGTAAGATACTAAGTTTAAACACTGGATTCAAATACAGCACTGTAGACTTTCACAATCCGGCTTCATTGAAAACCACACCTTCAAATGCATTAGGGAAAGTCAACTAATGTCGTCTAATGAAAGGTGATCATACTGTGTTGACTTTTAGGACTAAGATTCATGAAGTAGTTTTGAATCTCAACACTGAACATGTGAGCTAATTGTCCAAGTGTAGCATTCTAGGGATAAAGACAAAGTGTTGATGGAAACAGGAACAAGCTTTATAATGATATCCAGGAAAGAATACTAATGTTTATCTGATGAACATCTTTATACAGGATTTCCACAATCCTCTATTGATTTTCAGGTGGGTCGAAAGGTTTTTATTAGAAATAGGCGAGACTATAATTTATTGACGAGCCAATCAGGTATAAGATAATAGGCCTCGGATATTGGCGTGGAATTCACTCATTCAATTTGGTTAAATAGAGTTTTGGAATTATAGCTGATGTCAGTTCGTGATGAAGACTCTAAATCTAATTCCCAGCGTTAATCATCAACTGTAAAACATAATTCTAATTCCTTGCACAGGTCTAGAACCCTCATTTGATCATAGATATTAGGTGGACACTCTCAAGGCCAGTCTAACTTAGCTCAAAGGTCGTCCATAAATTATCGTCTCACCGAGAAATATACTTGAGATATGACCTAAGTGCCACGTTTAGAAATAGACACTGAAACCACAGAATTTCCTTAGTTTGGGGAATTTTCCTACGTTTCCATAGCGCCTTCCACAAAACGGATAAAATTTCCCCGAAATAGGGAGATTGGGCTAAAATTCTAAAGTACACGGTTTTTTAACAATAAAAAAGTCAGTGATTCCGTAATATTCATGTTCATAAGAATTGATGTTTAATGACGACTATAAGCATAAAACTTAAAGGCTCACAAAAATGGGACACGTGACACAATCAGGTGTTCCTTACGGGGCGAAGCTGCAATTAATGAACAAACTAATCAGATATAAGATAATCGGTCATAAATTTTGACGGGAAATTCATTCATGCAGTTGGCTAAATAGCTTTGCATTATAGCTGATGTCATTTCGTGATGAAAATTCAGTCTAGTTTCTAGCTCTAACCATCAACTGTAAGTCATACTCCCAAGTGTTTTATAACCCTAATTTAGTCTTTATCAGGTGTCCATTCTCAAAGTCACTTCAGCGTCGCTCAAAGGTGGTTCATAAATTCTAGTCTCACCTCTTACAGTTTAAGGTATATTCTTGATTGCGAAATGGTCTTGAAAATCAAGACCCAAACATTACCTGTTACGTGTCGGTGATTAGCTTCACAAAACACCAATACGTATATTACAGACTATATGAATTTACTAAGATATTGATATGAAAACACTTTCAACTAAGGGTTGCAACAATTAACGTTCACTACCCATCAAAATGAGGATTTCACAGAGTATGACTTACATTCGTTCCTGCGTCTCCTAGATTCAATATTTTTTTTGGTTTTTAAGGAAGTCACTAATCCGGATTAAATGCCGCTTTCTGATAACTTAACACAACACTACCCTATGATACTACTAATACGGCGAACTCGATTGGCTGCGAATGACCTTACAAAGGTCTTCCCAGCTAACTAGAAAATACAGGTAAAACAAACAAACAATTTAGTGCAGAAAGCCATGAGAGGTTAGGCTTTGAGAGTAGGTAGAAGTTTTAAGTTAAGGTATATCAGAAGAATACACTTTATCAACAGTAGTGATTACTCATGCATACAATTTGTTTCATTTCGCATAAGAAAATCAAATCATTTGCTTGTGGATCCTCCGAGTTCATCTTTATTATTTTGTCATGATTATTAACACTGGTGGGTTTTCTCAGACATTGAAAATGTCCAAGCTAAGTGATCATTCTCCGAGTTTCAAAAATCACGTAAACGCTATGTTAAATTCTCCTTCTTTACCAGTATATACGGTTTTGCCACAGAGAAATCAGCAAGTACACGAATAACGTTTGAAAGTCAAAAACAATTATAGGTCTGAAAACTACACAGGCTTGTAATGAGTCACAACTGACTGGCGTTATAGCCCTCTAGAGGGCTGCAGCTGCAGTCGTTTCTATAAAAGGTATTCAAAAGAAACATCAAAATTCAACATTTGGGATTGGCAATAGTTTGTTAACAACGATATCTATACTTTCAGCTTATTGAGAAAAAATATAATTTGTAGGCAATATTTTCGGGGTACCAAAGTGGTTATGAAGCATGTCAGCAAATAACTGCGATAAAACAGGGTTCGGAATTAGAGTGGGGAATTATGACGAGGACCTGTAGTAGCATTGAACCCTAACCACACAATCCACAAAGCTGAACACGAGACTACTCGGAAAATAGATACTCAGTATTTTTAACGCGGAGAAATACCTAACAGCGGAAAGGGCGGGAACAATGAGTTGAAATAATTGGAGTTCATCGACGTGGTCCCTGGGGAATGTTACCTTATATCTTTTATCCATATTAAATATATTGTTCTATCTCTAACCTCAGCTTCTTCTCCATGACGTATTGGTAATTGTTACAATACAGTGAGTTGGTATAGACGATGGTGCGACTTCTATGTAAGGTCTTATAGATTAGGCAGTTATATCATGACAAGTCTACAATTTTAGGATTAGATCTATTATTAGAGCAGTACTAATATCATAGTAGACCATAATTCTACAAACCCACATTAAGAAACTGAGGATACGAATATAGATGAGAATGTTATTCACGAACCGACATAAGCTATAATGTAAACATGTGATAGCCATGCCGAGAAACTTCGTCCGAGAATTGATTGGTCACTATGGCTAACCTGACAAGTTCGGACACAAGTTGTAATTACGAAACTTAGTCTTCGTTTATCGCTGTTATAAGTTATTAAAAAACAAAATTCATTGCATAACTTTAAAATGATAGGAATTTGTCATTTCGTTAAACAAATACAAAAGTTTATCAGAGCACGATCCATTGGTTCTTACATTTTGAAAAAAAAATTATAAAAACGATAAAATACATACTATATATAGTTATCAGCAGAAAGTGACCCTGATTCGATTCGTTAGAAACTATTCAAAGAGGTTATATGGGACAAAGCGTCTGCCTCTACGGTGTTTGTCCTAGAAGTGTGCTATATATCTGGAGCAGACTGTAAAATGTAGTTTAGTTGACATGAATCTCGAGGTAAGACGACCTAGGTGAGGGGGTTAGAGGTTTGTTGTCGGTTAAAAGAGTGAACTCTCCGCCTTCCGCAGAGTGTCGAAAGTATAGAAAAATGACAATACATGGCTAGGAGTCTCCTGCCGATTATGCTGTACTTCGGCTCAGTGTCTTGCATCTATCTCGAGGTGTTGTTTACTCATTTTTATAAGACCCCTACGATCGCCCAATCGGAAGAGTATATGAAAGTACCAATCTGCATCTTCCTCCAACTCATGAGGATTAGCCATTGACTAATCCAATCACCCGATAGAATGCTTCTTTTAATCAAAACACGCAAGTGTTCACCACTAGATAAATTACCTAAAAGACAATTCGAAGAATAATGGGAAGTTTGAAGAATTATTGTGGATGCGAAATCGAGTACAACGTATAGGGAAGAAAAGTGATTTTGAAATTTATGTATTAATTTACTGAGGTTTTAGCTTAGTGAGTTCTGTTCAATGAATTTCAGTCGCATTAATTTACTCTGCATTCAGTTAGTTATTTGATTTTTGATGGACTGTTCTTGTAGTAATCTATTTACTGTAACTTTGTGTTCAGTGACAGTTGTTCAAATAATCTCCACAACCCCTATACTAGTAATCAACATGTGCTCACTAGTGACTAGCTTAGTGAGGGAATTCTCGGAGTTCTAGTGAGAAGCCGTGACCAGTGGAGCTAATCCTTGTCGGGTAGAGACGGGTATCTACCTCAGTACAACGGAAGTTGGTCGCGCAATTTCGTGGATTGGTTGATGTTAGAAACTATCACCATTGGATGCCGGCTCAGTGGTCCAGTTGGATAAGCGTTCGTGCGCGAGACCGAAGGCCCTCGGTTCGAATCACGCTCGCGGGATCGTGGATGCGCACTGCTGAGGAGTCCCACAATAGGATGAAACGGCTGTCCAGTGCTTCCAGGTTTTCAATTGCGGTGGTCTAACACCAATCGGTTCACGATCTCAATCAAAATATAGGATAATTGATATACAAGGTAGCTGATTTAAGTGCAATCCGATTTATTTAGGACTACCTGCACCTGTTGGGAAAGCTTAGACAATCACAACCATCCAACATGTCTCTTGTAGTAGGTTCGAAGATATATCTGATAGGCTGTCGATGTATCGGGACTTGACTAATCTATTCTGGTTAGCGGTTGCAGGAGATGTGTAGCACGGCGTATTCAATCGTGTTGTGGTGCGGATGCGTAACTGGGCGCCTGCAGCTGGGTGTATCCATTAGAACTAATGAGGTCAGCATCAGTGTTTAAGACTTACAGAACTGTTGTTGTTGGGGATTAATTTACCGCTAGAACAGTAAGGTTGATGGATTAGTAGTTGTCTTGTAACTATGTAGATCTCAGCTTTAGCTTTTAACGAAGAGTAATGGAATGAGATGATAAGAAATTAAGATCTAACGTCTTTATGTCAAGCCACTGCCAATTGAAAGCGTTTTTATGCATTCAGTTCCTGACGTAAGAACAGTTTTCTGGCTTTGGGCAACTAATGAACTACAACACTTGCCACCATGATGGTTCGAATGTTTAATGTATGAATGACTACATTCACCATATGGCAGAAGAGTTTCTCGAGCTTCCAACTATTATGATGAACTTTCAATAGGAGTGATAAAAGTTGAATAAAAATGTGTGGAGAAAAGTAAAAATGGATATAAATACATGAAATAAGTTGAATATTATAGCATGGCGGTGATATTTGGTGTTTTGCGTGGGACGTATTCCCGAGAATAACTGTAATAGTGATAGTAAGGATGAAAATTATGAGTTGTGAGACAAACTATATGGAAGATAATTGGGTATGTAAAGGTCACTAACTGTTGACAGGTAACACTGATCTGTGTTCAATTTGAAAGGCATTGGGCCAAGTATCTGTAAACGGGTTCAACACACTATTGAAATAAAGTTCGTCATCAGTAAACTCTTCTTCGTGAAAACATTCTGATGGGTTTGACGTAGTCTGGTTACTCTATAAATCGGTAGCTGTCGTATTTCGAAAGAGGAAAAGTGAAGCTTATGTATGTAGAGAAGTAAATGGGACATAACAAATCACGGATGTCATGTTTAGAGTTATTCCAGTTAATTCATAGTTTGCAAAATACCAACATCTAGTATTGTTCATACGTTCAAATGGTTCAAGTGGTTTAGGATGGAATAGAAGAAGGTACTGCTTAACGGGCTTCCATGTCTAGTAGTAGTGGGTCAACAATACCTCTAAGCAGGAACCTAGGTATACTTTTCATGCCTCTAGGTAACACTCGTGCTATCGATAGGAGAAACCAGACGGGTAATGAATAGATCTTTATTTAGATCTCGCGGTCACAAACAAAGCCTCTCAACATTCAATGTAGGATTATAGGAAATATAATGCCTAGTCAAAATAAGGAAGTGAATGAACACTTGAACTATACTGTTTTGACATATGCTTAGTTGTTAGAGGTGAACTCTTGACCAATCAACCTAAGCTGTTACATATTAAACATAATAGAGGAAAAAAGAAATTGGTAAATCATAGTAAGATGTTACCCTTACTTCTTAGGAATAGGTCAAGTTTCCACTTAAAGGACTCCTGGGATGTCACTTGGACTAGCTCAGCCGGCAGCGAATCCAAGCATTTGACTACTAGTAAAGATAAGATGGTGTGTCTACAGTCCGATCTGCCATATTATGTCTCCAGTTTCTGGGTGTTGCCCCTTGGGTTTGTGTTGGGGCTAAACTGAAGTAGGTGTCTAAGGGGATGTCCAGAAGTGCTATGGATACTGTAAGCAACTAGAAGGTCACCTCTATACTCTAAAGGGTAAAGGTTTAGTGATTGGAGACGCTCTGCATAAGGTTTGAATTTGAGTCTCCGAGCTGATTTCGTGGCCCGCCTTTGGATACGATCCAGAATGCACTTATCCTTTTGGAGTGAGGAAGGGAATACTATATTTCCGTACTCTAAATGGGGACGAATAAAACTGTTGAAGATTATGAGGAGGGTTTTTCCATTAAACCTGCCTAAAATGCACTTCAATGTTCTCAGCGCAAGGTCTGCTCGAAAGGTATTTTTGTCACGGCTAGTATGATACTTCAAATCGCAGGGTACAAGCATTCCTAAATCTTTGTCAACTTGGGATACTTCTAGAGAGTTGTTTCTAAAGTTGTAGCTGTTGTATGCAACATGTCTCAGATGGACTACTTCACACTTTGAAGTGTTAAAGGTAAGTCCATTGTCATCTGCCCAACTTTGGAGTCGAGTCAGATCCTCATGAAGTGCCATTATGTTCTCCTGGTTATTCCACAAACCATAAGTTTTTGTTCAGTGTAAGATTCAATGCCATGCTCGTTTCTATTCCGAAGCTCCTATAATTTAAATATAACCATTAATACCATATTCT